AGCGTTAAAGTCGCCAAAGCACAATCTCTGCGGATGGAATCTGCAGCCATTTTAACGTGGTAGATAAGTCGGTCTGTTTCGGCATTACCTCTATGGGAATTATAGAGGCACCCGTAGACGCACAGATGGTCGTCGCTGTCTACGCATAGCCGTTGGATGGACAGGTCTGAACGGGTTACTCCATTTATCCACTCTAAGGTGCACTCGGAAACACGTGTCCGACTATCCACCTTAGATTTTTTTATAGAAGAGGGGACAAACGAGCATGTGGCTCACCTGATGTTAAGTGACTACCGCCGCCCATGATCAACCGCAACACCAGGAGAATTGCAGGTGCGTTGCCGGCCCTTTAGAAAGGAGTAAGCTCTTTTCTTGAAGGTCGTCAGGTGGTATCGGTCCGGAAAAATCGCCGGTGGTAAATTATTCTACAGAGAGGTTATACGCGGAAGAAAACTCCTTTTGAAACGTACAGTGGTGGACCGCCAAGCATCCAGATGGTGTGGATGTTATCGGGACGTTTGCCGCGTAGTGCGTTCACGAAATTTGGCGGCTGAGATTAATCCGAACAATTCCTCAGAGCACTCTCCATGGTATATGCGAAAGAAAATGCAAAGAGATGCAACATCTCTTCGCAGTGCCAGTGAATCGAGCCGATCGGAAAGCACTCGGTCGTCGACGATTCGAGCCGCTCTGCGCTGGATGCGGTCAAGTGGAAGGAGCTGGTACTGGGGAGCCCCAGCCCAGAGATGGGAACAGTATTCCATGTGCGGCCGAACCTGCGCCTTGTAAAGTTGCAGGTGGTGTGCCGGCATGAAATACTGTCCCGCTCTGTTGAGCACGCCAAGCTTTTTAGAGGCCAATTTGGCCTTCCCTTCCAAGTGACCACGAAACTGCACGTCACTCGAGATGGAGATGGGGTGGGGTGGGAATTGCCTCCGGCCACCTACACTCACCAGACGAAACGCAGAAGCAGAGCTTCGACTTGACGCTGGTATTCTGTGAGTTCTGTAGTCTGTGTCGTGGTACCATACCAGTTTGGGTCGGCCCATACGTGCAACAGCAATAGCTGCCGTTGCCGGCTCTATCACTGTTACTTCGATATTACAGAAAAACTCTTCAATTTTATTTATATGTATAGATAATAAGTAATGGTAATAAACACACAGCAATTAAAAGGTGTTTATTAAATTTCTATAACTAAATAATTACACTTTATTATTTTAACTATATTTAGAAAAATCATATCACAAACATTTTCGAACATATTTTTGAGAATCTTGATTAAACATACCTACATGACATCTAACAAGTTAACATAGTGATTTGTATGCTACACTGACGTGAGACAATTTGTATAAAACCTCAGAGTTTACATAGGCAAGCTATAAAGCAACGCGATAACAAGAATGAACAGTAAGCACGGGTATTATGTTTGTAACTAAAAATGTATGAATTATTTACCTCCGAAAAAGTCTGTGTTATCTCGTTAGCTAAGACCGATTCAATTTTTGCGAAAAATAAATTAAATTCTTCTCAAATATGATTTCCATCTGTTATTTCTCCTAAAAGAGTATTTAGTTTTGGAGGAATATTATCCGTTTTTATTTTATTTTTTCTTAGGGTTTCAATAAGCCTCCACATTTTTTTAGGGTTATTTTTACAGATATTAAATGAATTATAGTAGTACTCACTACAATTTTATTTATATGTATAGATAATAAGTAATGGTAATAAATACACAGCAATTAAAAGGTGTTTATTAAATTTCTATAAATAAATTATTACACTTTATTATTTTAACTATATTTAAAAAAATCATATCACAAACATTTTCGAACATATTTGGAGAATCTTGATTAAACATACCTACATGACAATTAACAAGTTAACATAGTGATTTGTATGCTACACTGACGTGAGACAATTTGTATAAAACCTCAGAGTTTACATAGGCAAGCTATAAAGCAACGCGATAACAAGAATGAACAGTAAGCACGGGTATGAACAGTCTCGAAATTGCAAGGGGGACGCTACTGGTTAAGAAAATACACACACGCTCGCTGATTGTTACTATCGCCAGTTTTTACTTCAATTTTTAGTTACTATGATGAAATGTGCAGTATCAAAACTGTAAAACGATTCACGGAAACAAACTTAGAAGAATAATGATATATTATCTTGTCATCGGTAAGTAATGTTACGCGCTCAAGTCGACGATACACTAGCGCCATCTAGTGTCAGGAACGAGAGCGAGGGGAGCATTGAGAAAATGACATCACAAATAACTCAACCACAGCGCCTAGTCGAAACTCGAACGCTCGGTACCTTGCGCGTGTTTACTTGAACATTCTGGATATTTCTTTGCTAATTTAAATATATAGGCGCTGCAAGATGCGATCGAGGCAGAGTTGAACTCGGCGACACAAGCGAAGCTTCGGAGCGGAATTAAGTGAATTAGTGTGTTTAATTATTAGTGTTTTTAGTTTTAATTTGTGTAAAGTAAATTAAAGTGTTAATTTAGGTAATTTTGTCGGCAATTTTTATTGTCACGAACCTCAAGCTCGTAACAGTAATATTCTGATAAGAAAACATTGATATTACAAAATTAATAAGGGTTTCTAAGGCGCGCGGCCGGGTCGACACTGCAACTCCCGCGTTCCCCGCTTTAGGTTTTTCTCGAATTGAGAACTAGTGCTGTACTACGTTTTATAAATATTTTGTATTAAGTAATAACATGATTTCTTTTGTAATAATAATATTATCGAAGTATAAGCGATTAAGATCTTTTTATTACAAACCCATATAGTACAATTTTTAAAGTAAAAGCAATACAAGAGCTTAAATTTGAAGTGAGATTACACGTATTTTAAAGTGATTAAAAGACTAGCTTAGGTAGTTATTCAGTAGGTACTTACGAAGTTACTTGTATATCGATCACGATTTTTTCAAAACTAATGGATGTCATTAAAAATATATTGACATTAGATTGAAATATCTTGTACCTAAAACTACGATCAAGCAACCAAAACGAGAATTATGTAATAAGTGAACCCTTTTAATCAGGCGGTAAATTAATTAAATTTTTGTGTTTGATTAATAAACGTAGTTTTATAAATTCGTACCTATGATCAATAAAACACTGCACTGCTTAAGTACCTAATTTTAATAACGCATATGCATCAATCTCCCGCATCAATATTTAACCGTTCTAGCTTTTATCAGTATCTATATAACATCTGCTTACGTCTGGAATAATGGTCAAAGGGCAACAAGCGCGCTTTATATCTTGCTTAGGTACATTAGGCTCTATGGTATAAAACTTATGACACACTCAAAATATAAATTATGTATATCTACAAATCTCTTACTGGGTATATCGTTAAAATTTAGTTATTACTAAATACGATTATGTGACCTTATTCTAGGATAAAAAGGCATTAAATATCACTTCTAGGTTCAATTTGATTTTAACAAAGGCACCTTTATTTATATATTAATAACATGTGCCAATTCTTTCAAAAATTAAGACTTATCCAGAGTTTCCTTTATCTAACATTTAAATATTGCCTTTATTACTTGTCAAATCTATTTCAAATATATAACAAAAATTATTATAAGCCACATAATACGTTACTAACTTATTTCCTATAATTTGAAGCCTGTACATATACACATTTTATTTACTATTCATTTATTTTAATATAAGAAGTTAAAAACACCTATTCTTTTTGTGTCTTTAATTTCTTTTATTTTGAAAAAAAAAATATTTCTTTACATATATATAGAAATTTAAATAAAGAAGCGGGTCTACAGCTAACTAGAGATGGTCATAATTATTTTCTTTAGTATTACTAGAATTTTCAAAACATCAATTTTACGATATATATATTTCATTTTACACCAAAATAAAAAACAGAATAACCGTAAGTGTAGCATCTCTTGCTCATCACCAGTTACAAATTAAACACTAATTCAATACAGATAACAAAAAAATATGCTTGTGTGTTGCCATTATAATTAGAGAAACATTATATTAAATTAAATGTAATGAATATATTTAAAACGTATACATACTTGAAATTTTAAATAATTCAACAATTTCAATACAAAAATCAACGAACAATACAATTGCTTTGAATCAACTGCCAAGTTATCTCCGCATCCTCATAGTGATCCTTGCATGTCTTCAAAAAACTTTAGAATATAAGATTTTCACGCCTCTGATTATTATTATTTATTCCAACATTCAATTTTTTATTAAATAAAGACAGTAAGTACCACGTTCATTATAAGTGATGCCGAAACCATGCTCAACTTCTTGACGTGCACTCACGCACATGTCTTTCTTCTTTCAATTGTTTTTCAAATTTCAAATTTTATCAGACAGTAAAAGCTGTTGGACACACTTATGCACCAAAAAGCATGTTGTTGATTTCATAGGCTTTTAGGTGCAATGTGTACGTAAGTGCGTACGTTAAAAGTAATTCAACATAGTTCAACATGGTTTTGTTTGAGCAATAAAATAATTTTATATGAAGTACTAAACAATATGTAGGTATTATTAAGTATATAAAGTAATTTATTTTCTATAACGAAAGTAATTTGTTGGCAAATACCTGAAAAAAAAAGACTAGACTCAGTATCATAGATAAAGCATTTTCAGCCGTGCGGGTAGTTTTCAATGTTAGAGAACTTATATAATTAAGAGAAACATAGTTGGGAAGCAGTTGAATGAGTTGAACAGAAATCTCCGACGGCAATATCTAATCCCATTTCTTCAGTCTTCGGAGTTAAAAAGAGAATAAACCAAACAAAAATTCGTCGTTATGTATGAAACGGAAAGGTTATATAACTGATGGAAGATTTAAAAGTTAAGAATGAAACGGCAAAAAACGCAAAACTTTATATCACAGCGTAGTTTCAGGTATGAGCCAACATTTTTGATAAAATAGGAGTGGAGCAAATTGGAGCTGATCCAGCAGAAATCCATTACTCTTGACTCACGATGTTAGGTCGTAGCGAAAATCTGAAAAAGAATGAGCTTTTAGTACACTAATTGTTCATTCTTTGTATAGCTATCATTAACATATAATATTTTCAAACATTTTATTGTTGTTGCCAAAATCATAGAATACTATAATACACAATAGAATGGCTCTCAACTTTATTTTAAACGAGGACTGGCGTCGCCAAACCCGATTCGCTGTGTTGACAGACTGAGTAAATTTACACATTTTAGACTTTTGATTAATGTTCAAGATCATCATTAAATTTTAATACATATTTATTTGTAAATAGAGTGCAATTTGGCATTTTCTGAATAATTTGCATGCGAAATTTGGAAACGATTGTAACGTCAAAATACATCTCGTGTTGACATTTATACGTGCGAATTGACGTGTTAGTGACATTTTAGTGGCTACACCGTATACCGTTCTATTATGTATGTATTATAGTATTCTATGGCCAATAATTGGATATTTTGTTTGTTAATGAGGGCTCTTAATCTTATGGCTGATTTACACTTCGACAACTACAGTAACGATTTAACTTGCGAACCTGGCGAGTTAGGTAGAAAATCTCGTTTGTACGGCACGTACATTAGCGAGTTAAGTAGCAAGTTAACAATCAAGTTGAACGGGATAGCCGGCCGGTCTATTTTTCGGCGAGTTAAGTGCGAAGTGTTGCCCTCCCGCGCGTCTCCCGCCACCCGCAACTAATCTCACCGCTCGTGTGAATGAGCGAGTTTAGTGCAGTGCATAAGTTGACAGGACGCAACGTATTCATATTCGACCCTCAAAATATAAAATTGTACTTTTTTTTTAACTAAACTCGCCACGAAGATATTTGAACGCTACTGTCCACTTAACCGTTCACTGTCAACTGCACTAACTAAACTCGCTACTGTACTTGTCGAAGTGTTAATCGGCTATGACGCTCACCAGATGTCGCTTACCGGCACTGTAGTGAACTTATTTGTTATGTAGATGGGAAACAATTATGGTGACAGTGTCACCATCATATTATACATACATGCAAACCAATGGAGTATTCTTTAATTTTTTTGATATTTTAATCTCTTAATGATTTCTTATATTTACGCGAACACCTACTTTTACGGATTTTTCGCGTTTAATTTAAATTATTTTTAATTCCCGACGTTTCGGGTGCTTTCTGGCACCCATGGTCACGGGGGACTGAGGTGACTGATGTTCCGATGTCAATGTTTAATACCTTCAGCTTTTTCATGAATAGTAATTAAAAAATGACCATGAATAATAATAATCAAAAATCTGAAAGTACTCCGGATTAACATTGATATCGCGACGTCAGTCACCTCAGTTCCACGTGACCATGGGTGCTAGAAAGCACCCGAAACGTCAGGAATTAAAAATCATTTAAATTAAAAGTAAAAAAAATCCGTAAAAGTAGTTTTAATCAATTTTAATCTCTTTTTAATTCTTCTACTTTTAAGAATATCCGTAATTTATTTTATCCATTTCTAAACTAATCTTATTAACTTCAAATATAACAAAAAAATTTTACCCGCAAAGTTGACAAATTGGGGTTGGAGTTTTTATCGTAATTATCAAAATAAAAAAAATATTTGTAAAACATAGGCAAAAAATTTACAAATTTGGTGGAAAAGGTATGATAAGTGACACTATGTTTCACCTTAAAAGGCATACAAATATTTCGTTATCATCTTCACCTGGCACTATTAATATTCACATTTAATAACATAACAATTTCAATTATAATTAGTATGTTTAGAAATTACATAAATTATTAACTTAACAATTACATAATTCTTAATTACACAAAGATAAAAATATAATAAATAAATCGGACATTAATTGTAGGTATTAAATACCATTCATTTTGTTTTCAAAATATTCGTTGATAGAGACATATGCTTTATTGTATATTATATATTTATTTTAATATTAAAACATTGTCTTTTCTCCCTTGAGCTTGTCACATAGCTTATTCCACTCAAAAGGGTAAAAGAATTAAACTTATTAAGAGAAATAACCAAACTATGCACGACGCAAAACGACGAGATACCTGCTTAGTACAACCAGCGCCGGTTTAGCAACTCAGGGGCGGTGGGCGGAGCCACGGGGGTCGCGATCGGCGAGGTTCGACAACTAGCGAGGGTGCACACAACAACACAGAAAAACAGCCGTAGTCTTAATTATTGTACTTATTTTTGTTAAACATGTATAGCTTATATTCAATAATAAAAAGGAATGATGTTGTAACTATGCAATAACTCTCCCAATAAAGACATCGAATAAATAACGAGAGTTAGCATAGATTTTAAAATGTAAATTGTACTCTTATAGCTAATTTACCTTTGTTGCATATCACCTTTATTGTATATTACCTTTCTTACATATTACCATTCATATAAATTACCTTTCTTGTAAAAAAGATAATTGTAACATCAACAGGGCATCAACATGTTATCGTGACGCGGCCGCGGAGCAAATGAAGCTACGCGTAGGGCGCCACGACGTTTTATATTTATAGCGCTGAGGTGCGGGGCAGGGTTCTCAGCTTAAAAATTGTAAATTACAAGGTTTAAAATCTTTTAGAGTGTAAGATAATTGTTGTGTACATAATAGTGTAAGAAATAGATGTCAGAATATTACGCATTCAATTATGTTTGTTAATAAATAACAGTTTTAAAGAAATAAAGAAAGGCGCGGGGGTGAGGCAAGGGTCCGCTGGCCAGCAGCGGCCGAATCATATAAAAGACGGGCCGGCCGGTAGGGTCGGCTCCCACATACCTACTCCGTCGCTTACCAGTATGGAAGCCACTATCACTAGACTAGCCATGACTGGACACCAGTCAATCGTTTTAGCCTCCTGCTATATCCCTAGCGGAACCCTCCCCGTCAAGAGTGATTTCGAAGCTATCCTTGCATTAGGCGACTCAGTCATTATGTTTGGAGACTTTAACTCCAAGCATACTGAATGGGCCTGCCGAACTACTACCAGTAGTGGCAGGGTGCTGCTCAATATCACTCAGTCTCTCGACCTAACTGTCTACAGCCCCCTCACTGCCACCCACTATCCCGACATTGTTACCTACGCTCCTGATGTGCTAGATTTTGCTCTAGTTAAAGAAATTTCCCTTAACCTTAGAGCAATCGAGCCTCTCGACGATCTAGGATCCGACCACCGTCCTGTATCCCTCCTTCTTGGCCATCAGCCATCTCCAACTCCCACTTCCAAAACCTACACCAACTGGAAGGGCTTCAAAAAGTCTCTAGCCTCGGCTATAGACTCTCCGGACCCTCCCATAACCCTTTCTTCCGATGCCCTCGAAAGTGCGGGGAAAATAGACACCGCGGTCGAAAATCTCACCTCACTCATAACATCCTCTCTTAAAGAGAATGAAAAAGTTGTCCCGGTTGCAAAAACTAGTCTTCCCCTAGATATTAGCAACCTGTTAAAAGCCAAAAAAGCCGCCCTCCGTAGAGCTGCACGCTATCCCACTCCTGAATATAGACTCGCGGCCCACCGCCTTCAACGCAAACTGCGTTACCGCCTCCAAGACTACAGAGACCACGAAAAGGGCAATCTCATGGAGAAAATCTCTCCCTCTCACACAGCGTACTACCGGATGGCGAGAGCCCTCCGGATAGACGCTATAACCCATACTCCCCTTCTGTCTCGTCCCGACGGCTCTATTGCCTTCGAAGACGAAGAAAAAGCTGAGTGCTTCGCGGACAGCGTTGCCGCTCAATGCTCTCCTAGCTCACAACCCACTGACCCCTTACACATTCAACTAGTGGAGGACGAGGTCCGACGCAGGAACTCGCCCCCCTACCGCCTCTGACCCTATCACTGTGTCCAAAGATGAGATTTCATCTATCATCAAAGGACTTAAGCCCAAAAAGCACCGGGTGCGGATGGTATCTCCAACCAAGCCCTCAAACACTTCCCGGAGCAGGTAATCGCCTTACTGGCCATTATCTTTAACGCCTGCTTCGAATTCAGTTATTTTCCCACCTCTTGGAAAGAGGCAACTGTCATTGGCATTCCCAAGCCAGGCAAACCTCTCCACCTCCCCTCCAATCACCGTCCCATCAGCCTCCTCAAGGCCATGGGCAAACTTTTCGAACGAGTCATTCTCGTGCGCTTGAGGCGCCATTTGTTTCCCACAGACGGCGACCCTCTTGTCATCCCACAACAATTCGGGTTTCGAGCCAAACACTCGTGCCCCCAACAAGTTCACCGCATAGTGGAATACATCCTCAGCGGTTTTTACCCTCGCCGTCAAAAAACCATCGCGGTCTTCTTTGACATTGCCAAGGCATTCGACAGAGTCTGGCACGAGGGCCTTATCTACAAACTGTACGACTTATGCCTCCCAGATCGTCTCGTTCGCCTTGTAGCCTCCTATCTGAAGGATCGTACCTTTCGTTTTAGACACGAAGGCACGCTATCCTCTACCCGTCAAATAAAAGCCGGTGTCCCTCAAGGCTCTGTGCTTGCTCCCCCTCCTATACATACTATTCACCAACGACATCCCTATCCCGTCGAATGGTGTCAAACTAGCCCTTTTTGCAGATGACACAGCCCTTTACTCCAAAGGCAACTCACTACCACAGATTCGGAACAAGATCCAAAAGTCAGTAAGCGACTTAGGAGCTTGGTTCCAAAAATGGCGTATCGACGTAAACCCGGAGAAAAGCTCCGCCGTTTGCTTCGAATATAAACGACGCCGTCTCACCACCACTCCGCCAATCAGGATGTTAGGAACCCCTGTCCCATGGCAAACTAAAGCCAAATACCTAGGCGTCACCCTTGATGCAAGGCTCACTTTCGAGCCCCATATCAAGAAGGTTACTCGCACCGCACGTTTTTACATGGGTAGGCTCAACAGCATGTTGGGCAGACACAGTAAAATGTCCCTCCGCAACAAGCGAACCCTATATAAGGTCTGCATACGACCTGTCATGACCTACGCGGCCCCCATTTTTGCACACGCTAAACCCAAAGCTATCAATG